GACAATAAAACAGAGCACAGTTGAGTCCAGCACAGTGACGTGTTTGCTCTGAAATCTGCTGGAGATGGATGAGTCCTGGAGGAGCAGCTGTGAGTTTGGCAGAAGGTTTGAGGCTAGAGGGGCTCTGTGGATCACCCCCCTCCTCTACTCTGTCCTAATCAGTTACAGTCTAGTTTACAAATGTAGAGGAGGGAAAGTAAGTAGTATTCAAGTAAAACTACATGAAAATATAAAGAGACAAATTTTCCTTATTGATTATATTGTTTTTTTGCCATGAAATTCTGGATACTGAAATTCACTAATGTTTATCCTGATAAATTCATTTACTCAACCATAGAGCATGTATAAAGAAGTAGACCAAGAGAGTGTGACGTCACTCATAGCGTTGAGCGTCAGTCAAATGAAATCAACTCAGGCTGGCAGCTATAGGAGCAAATTTGGAGCCGAGTTCCATATTAGGAATAAGAGCAGTTATAGAGAGAGACGTGACAATTTTTCAATGTAAAGTCAATTGCAGCCAGAGTCTATGGAGTCAGAAGAGCATCCATGCTCACTTCCTATGTGGAACTGTGGCTAGCGGGTTGCTACTACAATAAGCATCTGCATCTACTATTGCTGCATCTAAATAAAAAGCTGTGACTTTCTAACATTTTTCAAAAACAAATACTATACACTCATCATCTCTACCCCAACTCCTCAAATATCCACAAGTGGAAAAACGTATTTATTAGCCCAACACTCGAAAACAAAAGGATCATTTCAGACTAAAGTAGCAAAGTTTGGAATAAACACAGCAGCTGGCTTCAATTACCAACCATAGGCCTTTTCCAAAACCAAGCGCCACACACCTGATATGAACTCTTTCCTATTCGCAAGAGACAGAGGGGAAGAAAGAGTGCGGGCTAACAGAGGAGGGACAGAGAGGGAGAAAAAGAGAGAGATGGGGGAGAGAGAGATGGAGAGGGGAAGGGACAGAGAGACAGAGTGAGAGAAAGAGAGAGAGAGAGAGAGAGAGAGAGAGGGAGAGCAAGAGGGTGAAGTAGAGATGGGGGGCATAGAAGAGAGAGAAGAAAAAACAGAAGAGAGTGGGGTTCCTGGGGGTAGCGGGGTGTGGTTGGTAAGGTCTTAGATACAGTTTCCACCAAAACTGCACAGCCAATCGTCTCAAGGGCAAAACACAGTGAGGAGAATAAAAAGTGGGTTTTCTATGAAGTCTTGAATGTCAAATAGCTCCAAGTCGTAACCATGAGAAAACCAAACTTCACCAGCACTTCTTGACCCCTTTATGGTATTTGAACATACAATAAAAGCTATGTGTTAATAATGAAAGCTGTTAAATTAACATAATGGTTTAAAATGAGGCGGTTAAACTGTGGGAATTCAACACCAGCATATTTTTCCAACTCAGCTGAAGGTCCCAGGGGTCTCGGTGCATGCATACTATACTTGGGCCAAATTACACTGGCATGAAGCCCTCTGGTTGTAAAACATGTAACCACTTAAACTCACTGTGTGTAAGATGATAAGAAACGGCACTGTCAAAACCACAATAATCAAGATTAAATCAAAACCAAGAACTGAGTGGGCACTATTTTCAATGCTACATCGAAAGTGAACACTATGTTAGAAAAGAAATGAGATACTACTGTTTTTTGTACATATATATAATAGGGCAGTAATAGTACTGGTAAATACACTCAAAAGGTGTTCTGTTACCCATTTCCATTTCATTATTTGATCTTGGTGCAAAGCAAGGCAGAGCAGCACTGAGGTTTGTGCGAGACTGTATGTAACAAAAGTTTGATTTTTGGCTTGTTCAGCTCTTGTGACACTTTGACCAGTCAGATTCAAATACTCGTCATGGCCATCCGCTTTTTCCGTTCCACGTGAATAATATGCAGAACTCAATTACGAGTGACACACATATCAGTCTGGCATGAGCCAGGTTAGTGTTCCTTTACCTAGATTCAGAATGTTCCTATGTATATATTGCCTTCGTCAACCAGGAGGGCTTAGTAGTAGCAAGGGTCCAATTCTTAAACTTCTGCATGTAATTGGCTGCTAAAAAGTAATATAGCAAAAGTACAGAATAAAGTTTGAGTATTTGAAACTTTATGAAAAGTTTGCCAAAAAAACTTTCCCAGCTGAAAGATGCAGCAGCAGCAGTATCTCCCCGGAGTGTCATTCAAATTGATTCACACAGAGCAGAGTGAAACAGACTTCTGGGTTAACTATTTCTCTCTCTCTCATAGTTTACAATAAAATATATGATTTGATTGTATCGTTTAAAAGTTTAACAATAAGTGTGAAGATATAGACTCTATCTGGTCATTTAAAGGTGCACTGTGAAACTTTTCAGGAGGAGGATATGCTCATCCTCTTGTCTCCACGTCTCCTACTAAGCATAATACAATCTTAATTATTGGACCATCTACAACTCAAATGACATTACATAGCAGGCCTATAGTACATAAAATTCAGAACAAATGTCCCCATTAGTGTGAATAAAAGGTAAACACTGAGGCTGAATAAATACATTTTATATATTGAACAATAAGTCGATATAGTAATTATCATGACAGGCCTATGAACTAGGAAGTGTTGTAAAATTATGGATCAAATTTGTAGCCAAGTCAAATTGGAGCATAGTGGTAATTTGCATAAGGTTTTCAGGAAAGGTGTCATGAATTATTTTCCATTTTTATTAGGTTTATTTTGACTGTTAGCAATAGAGGTCTCCAAATGATAGCTGTAATTTGCATGTAACTTTGAGAAAGGTCATTGATGTGCAAAAAAAAAAACCAGAATAAATTTGTATTCTTTTACAGCGAGAAACTGCCTTGGAGGAGGGCGCTCTCTTCGAAATTGTAATTCAAAATTTCAACACATAATGAGTTGAACATGACGTGCACATTTCCTCTGGCTGTGTTAAAGAGACAATTATTTGGGCTGTATTGACGAAAACGGGGTCATATTTAAATCGGCTACAGCTCGAGCTACAATGCAGCTCTTTCTCTGCTCTCTGGGTCAACAAAGGAATGCCTGTAGCAACCAGGCCACACTGACTGGACATAATTCTACAGAGGACAGAGGCAACCAATGCCAGCGCCAGAAAATAGGGAGAAAAAATTAGGCAGTGTGCAATGAAGAGCGTTGATTTGCTGTGTGTAGGCCGAGACTACAGCCCTGTCTTTCTCAAACATCCAACAATGAAAGGTTTGACGACAGCGGATTTCAAACAGAGAGGCAACAACATGGAGAGGATGATCAAAACAGGAGTGCACCAAACCTTAGAGGGAGGTTTGTAAGAAATGTTGGGTTTGTTAGACTTTTGTACACAATTTTCTATTGGTTTTGCTTGGGTAGTAGGAATAAAAGTGAACAAAACAAAGCAGTGGTTTTTACTTTTTCACTAAAGTGGAAGCACCATATACCCTGATGCATTATGACAAATATGCCTCTGCCTCTAGTGATTGAATACAAGATGGAATGATTGTCTATTGGGTCTATTGTCTATATGAGTCAAAAAATGTATACCAAAATAATATTTAGAGACGCACTGATCCATCTTTTTCAGCTCCGATGTTGATATGCTTTAAGTATCCACCATTAAACAAGGGAGTGGCAATCCCCCCCCCCCCCAAAAAAACAGTTAACGTATTACAAATGAGATGTAATTATGTAATTGTTATTTATCCTTCATGATCAGCCCGTAAATAGTCTTTTTACGTCAAATATAAGGCCTGGCCAGGATATCAGCTGATTCGATTCATGAGACTGATACCCAATCCGGCAAAATTCCCTGGATCGGCGCCAATGTCCGATACCAGAATCATTTCAGTGCATCCCTGATAATAATCAATATCTTTTTGTGCTGTGGTATGAGAAATGCTATTGACTATAGAGTAGACAATAGAGTATCAAGCATTATCGTTCCGATCAAAAACCCAAACCCTGACAATAGCACTGGTACTGAACATTATCCCACCTGAGGCCCATAGTATACAGCCCTAATGAGTCAACAGGGATTTAATAAATTAAGGTTTAACAAATATTGCCCTTCCTGATGCAAATATTGAAATTTATCTCAGCTTGGGACTGGGACAAATTATAGACTAGCTCAATATTGGGTGTAGAACTATTAAAAAAATAAAAAAAATTTAATATTGAAATTTTAAACCTTTAAACTTTCGAAGACTTGGTTATTTTTTTTCTCAATAATACATAGACTGTCAAACTTTTTTAAAAAATTGCTTTTAGTCATTTGATCTGCATTTGTTTTTACATTACAACAACACCCTGTAATCAAAGCCATAGCAGGATACCTAATCGCTCAATCATAGTTACAGCATAAAAAGTGAACCCAGACTCAGAGGACATGGAGAGATATTCTGTCCCTGGTGGATCTGACAGGGTAAACATACACAGCACGCCCCTCTGTTGTTGTTGTTATGGGCAGGAGTATACTGGGGGTTTCCAAAGTCGAGTATCCTGCCTCAACATTTGTTTACATGTTGTTTCATAATATTTTACTGTCATTGGCACAGAAGAGACATTGCACTGAAATGAGCAGGGTGAAATAACTATACATTTATAGCTTTTCTCATCCGCTGCCAATTCTATAGAATACCTTTGCTACTTACATGCAATTTCGCTCACAAACTAGTGCTCTCATGAAATAAAAAATGTGATTTCAATACTAAGGACTAATTTATTGATTTGTTTTTTCTGGTTATCATTTTTACAATGCTACTGCTCTATTGGAATTAGCACCTTTGCAGTAATCTGGCATATTTACACTGTAACTGTTATGGATGTTCAATGCAGAGTAAGACAGTAGCTCTATAGTAAATTTCTAAAAGACATCAATTCACCTATTAAAGGTCATATGATCTGACAACATTGAAAAAGGTGTATGTAGTTTCACTGACACAACATTATGACACACAACATACTGCATAATGTAGTGTTTAAAAGCAGTACAACTCTGGAACAGTTACCTCTTCCTGTGATGCATAGTGGGAGTCTGCGGTGTCCACTGACCAGAAGCAATAGTCAAAACCAAACTCCTGCAGCTTCTCCCTCGAATCCACTGCACCGTCAGCCCGTCCATCCAACTATAAAGAGAAAGAATCATTTAGACGAATATAGGTAAAGGTACACTATAGAACTTTGCTTGTCTCCAAGAAGATGTTATTGTTTTGCCTCGGTCCACAGTATGGCATTAAACTGTTCACCTAAACAGGTCACCAGGCTAAGTTAGATGTGAGATCTGTGGAAAGGCATCCCAGGTCTGTAAAAAATGCATGTTTTTCAGAGAATTCTTTAGCAATAAAAATACTTGTCACTGAATAAATACTAGAAATTAATTGGTATACTGTGATACATTACATGCAAAGCAACAACATCTCAATGGCGATAAGCAAGCAAGCAAGTTTGAGAGAAGAAGTCAAACACAAAAACAACTTGAGGTATGTTTGTGATGAGGAAACAACATTATAACATAAATCAGAAAATATTGTAATATACTGTGGGCCCTTTAAATGGCAAAAAGTCAGAGGCACCACAGTCTAAACACAACTATAATCATCCCTCTTTAGAAAACATATGGATCTAATAGAAGCAAAGACTGGGGGATATTAGAGGCTTTATTAAAATCCCATGGATGAAAGCCAAACTCTATAGATATTGTTTAAGAGCCTCCAGAGGTGTAGTTTACCAGTGAGCACTTTCCATTCATTAACAATGCGTTCAGTTTGTACGCTTAGTTGTTCGCCTCGATGCAAACACTAAACAAGTTTCTGCTTACGGGGCAGAGGTGGGGAAAAAACAGCACAGCAGATTTTGGACTTACTCGAGCACATCATTTGCACTTGACAAGGATTCATTCAGGTACATGGCTGAGACGCTGAGTGCATGAATATATTTGTGAATGGTCCATAACTTGTTGGAGGTCAGAGCAGAACTGTTGATCTCATAGGGTGTTCCAGGTCAAAGCCAGTGGTGGTCATATCATAATTTTAATAGTCAATTTGACAATTTGGTTACCTAGCCAGACATAACCACACACTTTGACAAAACTTTACAAAGACCAATGGATCTGGAGCTGTGTCTTGTCTCCTTCAACCAATCAGATAGATGCATGCTCTGTTTGCGTCGACAACACACAGCGACTTACACATAAAAAAGGAGAAAAAAGAACATAAAGGACTATAATAATTTAATGAATAAATATAAGTTTAATAGTCAATTAATAAACTATTTGGTGCTTTTTTACATCTTTATTTGGTCAGGATGTACATGAGACATACTGGCCATCTGATGTTTTACATTTACACCAGGGGTGGGCAAACTTTTTGACTCGTGGGCCACAAAGGGTTCTAAAATTTGACAGAAGGGAAAGACAAGGAGCAGATGGTTTGTTTTGGTAATCCACCTCATAAGAGAGAAAAAAATAACATTGGATATGTAGAAAACATGTGCTTGAATTTCAATTAGAAAAACATTACAAAGCATTACAACTTTTACTATTATAATTTATTCAAGTCTGGCGGGCCAGATTAAAAGGATTAAAGGGCCGCATTTGGCCCCCGGGCCGTAGTTTGCCCACCCCTGATTTACACTCACAAATAAATCATTGTTCGTTTTCCATGCTTTTTGAGGACATAACTTCACTGGGGACTGGCATTCATTTTCTGGAGACTGATAATACTGATAGCTTCTACTTGCCTAACCTTTTAACCTAAACCCTATCCCATTTTAACCTATTTTAACCCATATCTGAACTTTAAATCATGTTAAGGTTAAGGTATACTTTATTGTACACAAAGAGAAATTTGTCCTCTGCATTTGACCCATCCTTCGAATGATCTTGGTCAGAACTACTTAGCTGTAGGATTTTATGTTTTTTATGTTTTTAGGTTTTATGTTGATGGGGGAAATCAGGGTACTCTGAAGAAATCCACCCAGACACAGGTAGAAATATGCAAATTCCACATAGAAATGCTCAGGCGGTGAACCCAGAATCTTTTGCTGTGAGGTGAGAGTGCTTGTCCCACGGCCACTGCCTGGCCATGTTGCTAATCTAATAATAAAGTATTTACGTCATGGGGACCAGATTGTGTCCCCAGTCCCCACAATGTGATAAATACCCGCCCACACAAGACAGGTCCCAGGGAAAGGTTCACTACAACATCAAAAGATAAAAGGCAAACCTTGATACGCCTACTTCTCTCTTTATATGTTTCAATTACTTTTATAGGACTCCTAACTGTGCTTTTAAGCTCCTGTATTATGGAAATTTTACTCTTGTGAGCTTTTAGCCATGTTAGAGTGTGCTTCCTCAAAGACATACCTGGAGTTATGGTTTGTTTCATTCGCACATGTTTGATTAACCCTTTATTAATAGTCTGTCTATATTTCCAAAACTCAATATCCTCTGTTCTATCTTGTGATGTCTTGAAGGGGTAGTTTTCAGCTATCTTTTTCTTTTAGTTCAGTAGGGATTTGCATTTTCAGGGTTTAAATTATCCAAATGATTCTGCTGAAAGTCCAAATAATGTCCAGATAATTTCCAAATAATTTCCCTTGTGGATCAATAAAGTTTGTCTAAGTCTAAGAAAATGTATGTAATTCAAAAACACAGTGGAGCACTTCCTGTATTACCACATTACATCACAAGGGGGAATATAGTGTTTTCCGTTTGAGAGAAGAACTGTAAATATGCGAGGTTTGTGTGTTAGACATGTTTGAATGAAACAAAACGCAACTGTCGGTATGTTTGTGATGAGGAAAGAACATTATAACATAGATCTGAAAATGGAGTAATGGAGTTTAAAATCTCTCTGTACTTGGTTTGTGTCTGGTCCTTCCCAAAACTGTCCCACTTTCCATAAATAATGATTCCCTGGGGCTTCTTTGAGTTTTGATACGTCTCCACAGCAGAGGGAGGCCAGATGTGGCTTCTCACTGTCACATCATTTGTAACAGACTCTCCCTTCCCCCAGCTCGCAGCAACAGTTAACTATGAACCCTATTGTAAACACAGAGATCTGCAACTATTTTCAACTCATATCTAACTGTCCATTGTTGTAGTTTATATTCAAACTGGTTTAAAACTGGCTTACTATTAGTTTAGTACCAGCAGCAAAGACTAGAGCAGTTTTTGTACTAGTTTAGATCCCTGGTTTTGTCACAGTTTGTTTTTCTCTTTTAGAACTGGGTTAGTCCAGGTTTAGCTTGTTATGATTATTTCTCTGTTTTTCCTGTTTTGTTCATGGTCCAGGCCTATCAATTCAATTCAATCAATTTATTTTTCATAGACCACCAAACAATAACAGCAGTTGCCTTGCAGAAATCACAAAATTGTTGATTTAACCAACAGAAAGTAAGAAAATCAAACAAATGAAAATTAACCAACATTCAAAGAAAACAAGGACATAGATAACTGTCTGCTACTTAAATTTTAGTCCAGGTATAGACCTAGTTTAGTCATGATTTGAGCAACTTTGTTATGGCTGGATGCAATCTGTCACTTAAAACTATGCATGGTGTTAGTTCTGTAACTGCACGTCTACTTTCTAATATCACTAGCTAGCTTAGCCTTCCACAAAGATTATAGCAAACAGTGGTATAAAAACTAGTTGAACATGTTTTGGTTAAGAGAAAGGGTGAGAGTGACTGGAGGCAAACAATCAGGGACCAGCCACATGACCCAGAGGCAAGTTGGTAAAAGTATCATCTTACAACTCCAAGAAATTCCCATAACTATTTCCAAATATGGGACAACTTACTGCCATCTACACTACTGACAAATAGCACTGATATCTGCTTTACCAAGGCATACAGTAGCTTATGTGGGAGTACAGTGTTTTTGTAGTGGTGCAATGCTGTGAAAGAGACACTGACAATAAACAGCACTGAAGGAAGAGGCTGATCTAAGGCTGTAAACATCCTGCTCGTTGATAAAAGTTACTCCCATCTCTGCTCAGCCCTCAGAACCACATAAGCAATGCTGCAGCGGTATGACTGAGCCCTGTAATAAACTAAATCATAATGACTTGTGATGTTAAGTTGTCAGTTCATTTAATCGTTATATCTAATTTTGCTGAAGAACTTTGAGCTCTGTTTTGAACATCATGTCATGGGATTTTAACCACCTAAGAAATGCAGCATGTGCAGTTCAAAGGACACAAGTAAGGGACTGTTGGATTGTGTGAAATGAGCTATTTGTTTTTCCTGTATCCAGGGAGATCATACAAGAAGCTAGCTCAGAAGCTAGTTATGGACCTCTGAGATGCTACAGACTTTTTACACCAAATGTGGCAAAAGACCTTCCAGGAGAAATACTTCAAGGGAATGGTTCATTTCGTCACCATCCAAAATACCAGTGTTCATAGAGAACACAGAGGGGGACACTTTTGTCCTGAGGGCTGTTCCTCTTTTCAAACTGCCTAAACACAAGATCTGCTGACCCTACCTGACCATACCTCTTGTTAAACTGCACTGAGACCTTTGAATGAAGCATAAAGGCCACTGAGAAGCACAGTGGAACTGATAATGCAGCTATACTTGAATTTTCCCCTGGATCAATAGAGTATCTATTTATCTGTCTATCCGTATAGTATTAAGCAGTCAACAGCTTCAGGCCAAGCAACAGGTCAGCTCTGTGTCAACCCCATGGCAGGGATCTAGCTCTCTAGTGAATACAATATAAACACTTAAATATAATATAGATAAAATATAAACATATTCTCCAGACAAAATATAATGTGCATTCCGTGAACAGTAATACCAACCTTTAAGTTTCTGATCTTGACATACTTGTCTTCGACCTGGACTGCGAGCCGTCCTCCGTCAGCACTCTCCCTGTAGAGCAATGACACATGAGCATATTAGGCAAATGTAATCAATGGGAATTAGATTAGAGCATGAGATTTCAGTTAAAAGAAGAGTAGAGACATGGATTGCGTTTTGGCTCTTACATCTGGAGAAATAATTGGAGTGGATAATCAACATATGACAGTTAAGACCTGACTGCATGCTTGCTTAGATCTGATTTAGACTGTTTTGCCCTGTTTACATACATACTCAGGGAAACAAGTAGGTGATGGACCCTCAAGCAGAAAGGCGGAAAGGTGCACCTTTAAGTCATTGTATACTATATTGTAATTTAATTCTTGTTTGGACTTGACACAGTTAGAGACCTAGTTTTGACCTATTCATAGGATTCAGAATGATGAGAATCTCATGGCACTGCCATAGCAATTAACAAACAAAATATTACATAATTTGAATGGGAAAAAATCCTCAAAATGTTGCATAGAACAGGAAGCTGAAACTCATGAATAAGCTTGTTCTTATTTAGTCCCAGTTCCACTTTAGCACTAGTTTAGTCCTGGTTCATTTCATCTCTATGGGTTCTGGTATGCTGCAGTTTTATATTTAAACTGACACACTGGAAAGCATGTCCAGTTAACTTAGACTGGTCCTCTTCAGTTGGGGCCATCACACGACAGTTAGCACAATGCATGTTTTTGTGTGTTGGCGTTTGGCCCGTGAAATCTCCATGAAGCTGCAGCTAGTTCTACTGACCAAGTTTCAAATTTAAACAAAAACAGACACAGACACTCTCCAGAGTCCTCTCATGGCTCGTGCGTGAGGACCAGTTGAGTGCATGTTTTGGAGTTAGATTTTTTTGTGCGTGCTTGACTAAAACAGGGTCAGCTCTTCTGTGTACGCCTCCACAGCTGGACCATCTGATGCAATACAAGTGAAACCAACAGCAATGTGGGAAAAATGGCATCCGGGAGATTTTTGTAACCTCCTGGAATGATAATAACTAAAAATGCTTTGTCTTTTGCGATGTGCTTGGGTGTCAGAAAGGACAGTTGTAACATCCAGCACTCTCTATGGTTGTACCACATGGGGATTGTTTTTTACCACCCTGAGTTTAAGCCCAACCCAAAACCACAAACCTTCAATCTCCGGGTCTCCTCGGCACAGAGCAGAGGAGCTGAAAGACGGAAAATAGTAAAAGCCATAAAAACGTGTTTTAATACTAGCTTTGTAAAGTGGTAATGGCACATGTGGGTGACATTACTCGCACATGTCTATATGCATTCTCTAAAGAACAGTTATTTTAAGTAGGCTACCACCTTTTACAGTTAAATACTGTTTTGGTTCTAATTTTGTTCAAGCTTATTTAATGATTTTAAAGTCCTTAATCATTCTTTAGTCTAGTTTCAAAACTAGTTTATGTGACATTAAACAATATATTTTTTAAATCTGTGGGAAGTGGTCACAAAACTTAGACAAAATTACAAGACTTACAAAAGACCAAATTAGCAACATAGATAAGAACAAGCACAATTAAGTTTCAGAATTTCAGACACAAGCAAAAATCCTCTAGTCAGTGAGTCTTGCACCACAGTTTGAAAACCACTGTTGTAAGAGATGCCCATTCAGTCCTATTGTTCATGTAAAACAAAACAAGCGTACTTCCCAGTCAATAGTCAATGCCCTGCAAAATGAGCCATGCAGCTGGTGTTAATGTTATCTCTGTAACACAGCAGCCCTTTACTTTGAAAAAGATACAAAAATACAGCCTTTAGTCGGTTTAAAAATGAAACAATTCCAGTGGTAACATCCAAGTCCAGAAATGTGGATTTGCATCAATTGCATGGCAGTGACCACTAGGTACCAGATAATCTATTGTTATGTAAAACAGGGGGAAGAACAGTTCAAAGATTCATTGTCCAGTGCAATATAAAGCTTTGTCACATCGACAGCAATGAACTTCACATTGACAACCATTTCAAAGCACATCCTCCTGGACTCTATTGCACTTTAACAACTGGATGGACTGAACCTGCAAACAGTTAACACAAACATGCTGGAGCAATCTGGAGCCTTTAAAATGCAATGAGGAGCTTGAATGAGGTCAAACAACTTTCCATTCTTAACTACAAAAACATATGCTAAATGAAATACCAAGTCAGTACATTACAAAAGACTATACATGGTATGGATCCTATCTGGACTACTGAGGAATTTCACAAATAAATACAGCTGCAGAGATAATAAAGTGAAAAATGGTTCATATGGCCTTTCCAATACCAGTTTACACAATCACACTAAACATACAAGCTAGTTTGGGTTATGTAGTGTCGTGCCAAAGGACGCTACAGCAACGGGCAATGCAATATAATGAGGATAGAACCAGTAAACTTCCAGTAAGTGGGTGATCGTGATTTACGTTTTAGGGTGTGAGCACAATGTGTTAAATGTTTCTTTAGTTTAGTAATAGATGAATTAAGCAATAAACCAAAATCATGATCAAATAAAGGTGGACTATGTAACTTTTCTGATACAGTCCCCTATCTGGTGTTTTGGAGCAATAAAAACACATGTAAATGAATTAAAGTTTAATGCCATAGTAAGGGATATTTCACACATATTCATGGATAGAAGCAGATGGAAGGTCCCACAACAAAAAAGTTACAGAGTCCACCTTTAAATGTTAAATCAGTGTTGCCTTATTTATCTGTCAGCTATGATCTTTCAGCAATAACAATACCACAAACTTAACAAAAAAACTGACCCACTTTAAAGAACAAAACACAATAGACCTTTAAACTAGTTCAGGCTACAACAGCTGTCCTGGTCTAACATTTCTGTGCAATGAGACACACAGCAGCATCAGAGCTTACTCACAGAACAGCAGAACAGTTGTCAACTTTCACCATGTGCTTTTAACAGCTGGCTAACAAGCTAAAGCTAACAGAAAAATCAACAATAATGAAGAAAGAACTGAAATATTCTCTGATGCTAATCGCCTTTATGTAATTAGACGATTATTACAATTGTGTTAGCCAAATTAGACAAGAAATAAGGATACAAGTTATGGCTGGCATGACGCTTAGTAAATGATAAAATATAGCTAAATAGGCTATAATAGATTTAGTACAGGATTATGTTGTTTTTTATCATTATTTGCAGGTTTTGCGCGCTTTGAAATTACCTTGCGCTCAGAGGACGGACGCGTATGGCAACTTTCACGTTTGCCATGATGCTCCCAAAACTTCACAGACGCTACGACCCGCTGGAGACGACCCAAAGACGCATTTTCATTTCTTCTCGTTTCAAAAAATATTCTCAAAAATCCCTTTATCGGTGCAGAAATATCCGGCATTTGCAGAGCGCATTAAGTCATCTCCGCCGGGTAGGAGACGGTCAAACACCCGCGTATCAAACTCTGCAGAACTCAAACTTCCTGCAGACAGTGAGGAGGGGAGAGCTACGGGACACGCCTCTTACAAGGACCTGTTCAAATGATTCAAATCACTGCATGACTGAGATTGTAAATTATGTTACCATTACATTATGAGGTTGTGTTTTGTTTTTTTGTGTTTTGTTTTTTTTGTGGCACATTATAATTTTGTACAGGTTTATTTTGCAAAATTGCACTGAAATAAATATAGCATTAAAGAGGTACTATGTCATATTTCAGTGGAAGGATCTGCCAACTTCTTGTCCCCATGGAGATATTACTGTTTTGCCTTGATTATTCCACAGTATGGAAATAAACTTGGTAATCACAAAGGAAACAGGTTAATAGTCAGATCTATGAAGTAAGCCTGCACATTAAGGTATTTTTGAGCTATAAAACACCTGTAATTGAACTAATTCAAGGGAGATATGTTTAACGCTATACTGTGGGACATTCCAGATACAAAAATAACATCTCCATAAAAACAAGCAAGTAGCAAATCCTCCACTTTAGAAGTTTCACAATGCACCTTTAAACTAAAATTGCTCACTGTAAGAATGCATGCTTTTCATTGTGTTGTTTAGCAGTTAAACAACTGCAACTGAATAAGACAGATAAGTTTAAAGCCAGACAGTGAAACATTCCAAGCATAGCAATAGCATTTCCATGGAGGCAAACAAGTGGTCTACCCTTCATCACAAAAGTTACATAGTGCACCTTTAAATTGAGTAGGTAAATACATCTTTTTAGGCAGTCTCATTCTCAAGGGCTGCACACTTAAAACTTATAAGACATAAATCTACTATGGTAGAAAAAACTTTTCAAACAAGTCAGAAAGGAAAAGTTAAAAGTGTAATAAGACCTGTTACCAACCTGAGAGATAAATTTCTATAATAATATAAATTGCAATGGTGAATATCCATCACACATAAACATAAAATTCTCTTACTTAAGTCTTTATTATTATAACGTTAACATCTGAGACATATAAAATATTACAATTATTAAAAGCCACAGACACATTCAGAGCTTGTTCAACATGAACAGAAAACATCACAAATGCAAAATCTCACATTCATGAAATGTGCATCATTAACAAGTGGCATCGGCCAAAGGCAGTGAGTGAAAAGTGCTTTTACTAAAATCATCTCTCGTCTTTAAAATATAACTAAATTATTTTACATTTAACACACCAAATTTCTTCTCTGTGGCTTGTCTTTTGAAATGCTGTATAGCCTATAAAATATAAAAACAAATAGATAAACAAACTTTTTAGATTTAACAATACAAATGCCACATTAACATTGCCCTTCTAGCCCTAACACTGACTTCTTAACATGTTGACAATGACTAAATGCTTGTTATGGTCCCCAGTGGCATGATTGGAAAAAGGCTGGTGTGAAGTGTGGGGGAATAGCTTACTGAAGAGGTTTGGTTTTAGTTTCAATAAAACAAGTGGACACAAAATCTATAGTCCAAAAACATAGTGACTTAAGATCCTCTGTGGCGTTAGGTAGTATTATTGTTGTCATGTAGCGCCCTCTACTGCCTGATGAGAGACCTGCAGCATGTCCATGTGGCCCTGCAGCTCTGACAGTGAGGAAGATTGCTTCACACTTTGACATTGCAGCTGAAATTTCTCCATCAGCTCCTATGTTGTAAAAGTAAATACAGACAGTAATATAGTTAGTTAGTTTGTATTAAAGTTACATTATGTAACTTTTCTGGTGAAAGTTTCTTCAAATGCTTTTCTCCATGGAGATGTTATTGCTTTGTCTGGAATGTTTCACTGTATGGTATTAAACCTTTCTATCTTCATGAAGACAAAACTAGACCAAGTTACAGGTCAGATCTGTGGAGAGGCAACCCAGCTCACAAGAAGACTGCCTGGTTTTCAAGGTATTTTTGAGTTATAAAGCCACCTGTAATTTAATTAAAGTAAGTTAGACCCTGGAACATACTATGGAGCATTCCAGGCAGAGCAATGATCTATCCATAGAAAAAAGCAGGTGACAACCCCCCAACAAAAAAGTTATATAGTGCACCTTTAAAGAGACTTACAGTTGGCAAGGCAAGGTCTGTGAGCTTCTTCCAATGAGAAAGCACCTCCTCTTCACTCAAAATCCCTCGGTCAACAAGATTTTGGACCAGAAATAAGTAGTTGTTCCACTAAAAGAAAATTAGTTCAGTGTTAATAACATTAACTATTGTAGTTTGGAGCAAATGCTATTAGCATGATACTAACATATTTAAATAACTAATTATCATCTGTATTTGTACAATTTGGTGCTACACTATAATTAAATGAGGTGGGAAAAAGCAATTAAAGAGCCCATATTAAGCTGTTTTCTGATTTATGTTATAATGTGGATTCTTTATCAAAACATACCTGGAGTTGTGTTTTGTTTCATTCACAGATTAACATTAACACATAAACCCTGCATATTTCTGAGTTCTTCATTCAAACTGAAAACACTCTGTTCCACCTTGTGAAGTCATATGGTACATGTGGTCCACAGTGTTTTTAAAGGCAACATTACTCTCAAATTCTCACTTTAAAACAAATAATTCTGTTGAATGAGTATTAACAATTATACAATTATAGGATACAGAGGTATTTACTTACTAGAAACTGAGTTCACAATTATTTATCTTTGTTTCTATTATCTTTTTGTGTTTTGCATATCTGTACTTTGTTCATAGTCTTTTCTAAGAATCTGTGCAAGCTGTTTCCCCAGTACAGTCTGAACTCTGACAGTGAGTGACACTGGGAACAGTACCTGTGTGTCAGAGGCCTGGAGCACAGTGCTGACAGTGAGGGGGGAGAAGAGCAGGTGGTGAGGGGCGGAGGAGCACCCGTCCTGCGCCCACAGTTCACCTAGACGCTCCAGCAGGGCCCTGACAGGAGGCTCTGACCCTGAACCAGGACCTGGGCCAGAGTCCAGAGGGGCTGGGAGGACAGGCAGCTCAGAGGAGACTGCACAAGGGGACAAACCTGTTAAAAATCACTGGTTCAAAAGCAACAACCTTTAAGGCAGAATTACGTAGAGTTATGTAGTATACTGCTGTGCTCCTCTATGAAATGTCAAAAATCAATACATAAATATAAATATAAATATAATATAAAATCAATCAAGAGTGTACTGTAATGAGTGGTGGAATGTAATGAAGTAAAAGTAGTAAGGTACTGTACTTATATAGTATACATTTTGGTATCTGTACATTATTTGAGTAAATTTTTAAAGGTGCACTGTGTAACTTTTTGTTTGGAGGTCCGTCACCTGCTTGTTTCTATGAATATGTACTTGCTCTGCCTGGAATGTTCCGCAGTATGACATTAAAGAGATCTATCTACCTTACCTTAAATTATAGGTAGTTTAAGGCTAAAAAAAAACACCTAGGAAAACAGGCCTTCTGACTGTGAGTGGGGCTGCCTCTCCACCCTCCACCAGAAAAGTTACATAATGCACCTTTAAGTGGATACTTTCTACATTTACTTCACTACATTTGAGAGCAGGTATCTATACTTTCTACTCCACTAAGTAAAAGTATTTTTATTATAGTATGAGAGCTGCTAAAAAGGAAGAGGGGTTCATTTTTAACACTTTCATAGTTTTAGCAAAAATATACAAGTAAAAACAGCTAGAAAAAAAATCTATTTAATTGTTTGAAGTTAGGAGAAAGTAGACAGTCTGTGCTTAAATATAGAGTAGCATCAAACAAACACAGCACTAAATATGACATTATAACATTTATCACATAACATTCTGTCCAAATGTGAAAAACTGAAATAATATAATAAATAAACAAAGCAATGAAGGACCTGATAAAGTCTTCCAAGGATTTGTAGTGAAAGAACTAGCTGTTTTACCCAGTTTGCAGGCCAAGACGACTGTAGAGTTCAGCAACATCTGTTCTGACACCGCCGTGGAGAACTGAGGCAGGAGATAACGAGAAATGAGAGCGATTAAAATTAAAACTGGCACCAATTAATAAACCCAGTGTTGTTGTGTCCTTCTGTGTATTTCAGCCACCTTTTTGCATCCAAGTGTCTCTCCAACTTTGTTTAGAAGAGTCAAAAGCTGAGGAGAAGTTGGCAGCTCCGCATCAGTCCTGGGACCCACTGCGATGCTCAACCACTCCTGCATGACATGTCAGGAAAAGTGGCATTGTATTAGCAGAGACAAGAAGCAACAGGGATTAATCAGCCCAAAATTGTGAAAATTAAGAGTGCAAAATACATCTTTTAAATGGGGAAGGTTTTGTTTGGTTGTCAATTGCCAAATACAATAACATTTAAGTAGGTAAATGCCATATCATTATAAAGACACTGACAGTAACAAAACTTTTATTGACTTTATTATATTACTGGAGTAAGTATGAAGGTGCCTCACTAAAGTTGCCACACCTACCTTTATTTCTATCATAACATCTGATGGCAGAGAGACGTTGTGTGTGCAGTGGGGAGGGCAGGTGGCCATTCTTTCATTTGCTTGTTTTCTTTTGGGAGTCATGAGTTTTCCCTGCGAGACCAGATCATCTGCAGCAGAATCCACATCTCCACTGTCTGAACTGAGGGCTTTCACCACACGATCATATTTACTCTTCCACTCCCGCCTTATGAGAGCTGACACAAAAATACACACAAAAAAAAAATAATAATAATAAAAAGCATTAGGGTTGCATGATATAGGTATTTTCTTACATAGAAGGGTACATACATATGCAGAGGTTTCAAACTGATGAAAAAGGACCATTTCCATAGTGATAATCAATTTACAAACAAATTATTATTTGTTCCCTGGTATGACATTAAACATACACATCTAACATTTATACATTGCGGGTGTTTTTATTGATCAAAAATAATATAACAATTTCTCCTGTGACCAGGGACGACTCTCCACAGATCGGATTTTTAATATAGTGTAGTGCTGTAATCTGTTTGTCTCCCTCATGACAGATAGGTTTAATCTATACTGTGGAACATTCTAGACAAAGCAATAGCATTTCAATGGAGACAGGCAGATGGTGGACCCTCCATTAGAAATGTTACACAGTGCATTTGGCTTTAAAGATGCCCAAACAATTTGCTATTGATAACCAGCTGGTCTAAACACACAAATAGTTAATGGCCTCTCTGACTCTTGCTTTACATCTTGACTAATAGTTAAATAAAGAACAGGCTGCCATGTAACTTTAAATACAAACCAAAGAGCTGCACTGGGTTTTAATTAGGTACCTGTGATATTGGCCGCCAGCCAGCTGCAGGCCTTTTCTGTCGCGAGTCGTTTGGTGATGCTTTCAGATGTGGCAAAGACCTGTGCATCCAGACACAACAAGGTGATGAAACAGGCTCTAGTCTTTGGTGACATAAGCTCAGGTTTTAGTTTCTTTAGAACAATGTGTCATGAAGTTATGTTTGAAAAGTTTCAGTTGGAACTTGTTGAACTCACAGCAGGAGACGTCTCCTCTGGCAAAAGGATTCTTATGGCTTCAGGACTTTTTTCAGAGCAAAATCTGCAAAGATCACAAGAGGAAAATTATGTAGCAAAGAAACTCATACAGGATTTATTATTTACCTAAGACAAATGCAAATAAAGGGAAAATATAACTTTCACATTTGTACAGACTACATTATTACAGTTCAAGGACTCTTTATAGTTTGAGGTTTTCTTTCGAACTTGGGATTGTAACCTCCCCAACCTCATTAAGTAAAGGTACATTGTGTAACTTTTCTGGTGGAGGCTCCATCAAATGCTTTTTGACCATGTTACAGGTCAGATATGTCAAGAGATCTGACCGGTCACACCGTCACAATGCCTAGGTACTTTAAATAAATTGAGCTGTTTAATGCCAGACAGACTCCCAAACAGAAAAGTTACACTATGCACCTTTAAGCACCACTTGAATCTACCATTAAACTGCCTTGAATGTCCTCAAGCAGGTGACACCACCAAGTTACAAAAGACCAGCAGACAGCAGATACCTCACCAGAAAAGTTACAAAGTGTACATTTATTAATAGATAAAACTTACCCCACCACAATAGTAAGAAATACTCAAAATATAGTTGGCAAGACTAATGAATGCTGTACCTGGTGGCTCTCTCCAAAGCCTCCAGTCCGGCCTCACACAGCTGAGCACAGATGGAGTCATTCAGTTTTGACGCACTTGAGTTCGGAGACTGAAGTCCATCTTTGAGCATTCTCTCCCCCCTCTCCACCAGCTCCCTCACCAGCGTCGCTCTGTTGGTGTCATATCAGAAAAATGTATAAACTACAACCAAATAAGACAACAAACCTATAAATATTTTTTTTGACAAGTTAATAACACTATGAATTGTTTTTGACTAGTGTTTTAAATGTTCTATATTACACAGAATTGACTCTTGTGAGCTTTTATGTTTGAGTAATTCTTTATTATCTGTCTTCATCTCCAAAGCTCAAAATGCTTTGATCCACCTTGTGATGTCATGAAGAGGAAGTTTTCAAGTTAAAAGCTACCTTTTCCTTTTAGTTCAGTTTTTATAACACACATCAAAAATAGTGAAATATGGGCCCTTTCATACTAACTTCATATGCTTGACTGCATTAGATCCAACCCTCTCGGCTACAAACTCCACCGTGCGGCGTAGAGATGGAGGCTGGTTGTGGAAGAAGGCTTGCTCAAGGTCCAGCTTTGCAGAATAAAATAAGAGTATAGCATAAATTGAATATACAATTGTGATTTAATATTTATTTCTTTTTCAGATATTTATCAGCGTTCCCTCACCAGTAGTTTTTGTTGGGACCTGTGCGCAATTGCAGTGTTTCGAGGCTCTGCTGAAGTTGGGGTGATTTTTCGTATAATTCCTCCACTTTTGGCTGTGCTTCCAGAGACAAAGGCAGCTAGTAGTTTACGAAATTCACCTGCAATTGAGAATAACAAAACAGTTGTGTCGATATTGCCTAAATATACAACAAATATTTGGTAGCAAAGTTTCATACTGAACAATTGAAAATTACTTACCAAGGAATGGACAACATGTATACAGCAGCTGATGGTTCACCAATGGAATACAGTCCTAGATGAAGTATTTGTAAAAGCAATACCAGAGAAATGGCATCATGAATGGGTCTGATACTGTTAATCAATTAGAATACAATAGAATTCAATAGAATATAGACCAGGGGTGTCCAAACTTTGTTATATCAAAACACGACAAAGCAGAGGGCCGATAGAGGGCCATAGATTGGTGCTCAATACTGTGAATAATTGAAGTATGTGCATTTTTAACATGTGAGAATAACCCGTTTTCAGCCTTCATTCAAGATTAGATCCTCAAAAGGAAACACTAAATATTTAATATTGTCTTTATCAAGGTAGATTATCAAAAGACTTGCAGTTAAAAATGTTGAGTAAGATCATTTGGGCCAATTCCCCTGGAAGCCTGAGGGCCAAGAAAAATTGGTCCGAGGGTCACATTTGGCCCCCGGGCCATAGTTTGGACATGTCTGATACAGACTTTACTTACAAGCCCTTGTGCACTTGGGGAACTGCTATCCAAATGGGCCACTTCAGTAAACTCATTAGTGAAGAAAATGTCTTCTGGGATAACTGGGATCTAAACAAGCAAATGTTAATTTAGTATTATTTAATATAATATTTATTAATTAAAATTTGATATTGATCCCCTCACTTGGAATAGCCACCCCAACACAGACACCAACAGCAGCTTATTCAAGTAACACACTTCCCCACTTTTTCCAAGCAGCATTCTCCTAGAAAAACAAAAACAAAAAAACAGGTCAACTGGGATTACTGCTGTTGCATCGGAAGACGCATTTGTATTCAAGTCAGATTACAGTACTGTGCAAACGTCAGGGTTGTTTTTTAAGAACAAGTGAATAAATCTAAGGGTGTGAAAGTATGAAAATGAAGTAATGGAGATCATATTTAAAAGGATATAAAATGCAATTACGAACAAATCACGATGAACTACAATGTCAACCAATGTATTATTATAAAGCATTAACAAAGTAATTAACATCAGCAATTTGAAGCTGCTCTCTGAAATCATGTCAGACTCGTGTCATTTGTTAAACAGTTCACTTAAAAACAAGAGCATAATCCTCTACCAAGGAACTGGTCTTGTGATGTTATGATAAAAATGGATACAGGGTTACTTTCCAGTCACAAACCAAAATATGTACAAGATTCATCTAAAACTGTTTTTGTAGTTATGCAGTAGCACTGTTAACCAATTTTGTACTAATGCATATGGCTAACTGGTTTTCAAAGTCTGTAAATATAGTAAATACATATAATTAGAACTAGACAAACCTGTATAAAAGAAGCAATGTGCCCAGAACTTTCCTAAAGCAAAGGAGCAGAGGGCCCACAAAGTCTAACATGGACAGAAACTCCACAAGCCACGGGACAGTCAGAATGGTGCGTTTCCTCCTTATGCTATTACTGAGCAAGGCATACACATCCAGGGCTGGGACACTCTGTTAGACAAAAAAGAATATTTTATAAACCCTGTCTTGATTGATTGGTGGTTTATGATGTGTAATTTTGATCACTTTGCTGCGGAGTGCAATGGCTGTCTCCTGTATCTCTCTGGACGGCTTCTCGGATATTTGATAAGGCAAAAAGGCGATGAATCCAAGAAATTTTGCCAGAAGACGAGCAAGGAGCAACACGGAGCTGAACCTCTGCTTCTCATCCTGACAGGAGAAACAGGAGTATTATTCTGGCTATAAAACTGTTCTTGGTAAATATTACAATTTCATTAGACAATATTGTAGACACACATTCACAGACAAGATACATTCTATTTTTTTAAGTAAAATAAAACCAAGAAGGGTGTGTTAACATTGTTGTACTAGTATTGAAATATTTAGTATCTAGTTCTAGCTCTAAGTAGGTAACCTTTCTTTACTTTTTCCAAATAATTTTACATATCTTTACATTATCTTCAATACTACATTTACTTTAAAAAAACAAAACAATAAAAACAAAAAAGGCACACTGAACTACAAAATGAAAACTCAATTTTCAATAAAGAGATTACATTTTTATATGTGATTCAGTCATACAGTGTTTAAAAAGCAGCTGTGCAATGTCCTGTTTATTCATTCAACTATTTCACTGTGCAGCATGTATTGTATCTACAGCATATATCTCCACTCTGAATTATTAACAGTCCTGGATACCTGTTGCTCCATGTCTCCCTCCTCCTCCTCCTCCTCTTCCTCTACTTCGCTCGACACTGGAGGACTCAGTATAGACACCTCATCTAACTGCAGCAACTGCTGACACAGGCTGTCCTGAAGGTGCTGGTTAAGCTGACAGCTAGGGGCACATATTATACAAAATACATTTTAAAACTTGTATTACCATGTTATTCACTTTTAATGAATAAAAAGATGTGAAAGGGAGAAAAATATAGGAATCTCCTATAGTAGTCACACTTCACATTACATTTTAAAGGTGTACTGTGTAGGTTTTTTTTGGGAGAGAGTCTGCCATCTGGTTGTTTCCATGCCAATGTTATTGGTTTGCCTTGAAAGTTCTACAGTATGACATTAGACTTAGCCTGAAAAACATGTATTCTTACTATGAGTGAAGTTGCCTCTCCCCAGAGCTACCCTTTAATAACCAGGTAACTTGGTAGCATCAGCTGCTCATCTCTATGGACATAGACAAGTTTAATGCTACAATGTGGAACTTTCAAGACAAAGCAATAGCATCTCCATGGAGACAAGTTGGTCTGGATAATGGAACGTGTGCTATACTGTGCTGGGGCTTTGTATTTACAAATGTTTTGTACTTGAACCATATTTGATTTACGTTAATTAATTTAATAAAACATTTGATATACACTTCACTTATTGCCTTACTGATTACAAAAAGCACTGATTATATTAAATATTGTTACTCCTATGTTTATGACAGCACAAGCATAACTTCATCATTTGTATCACCAGTTTTTGTTAATACATTTTTTAAACTATGAGGGCAAAGATTTGACTATAATGACTTTGTTGCAGGTGTATATTAATATGCACTGTCTCTACTAAATAAAATAAAAAATTAGGGCTGGGCAAAAATAAAAAATATTAATCGCATTAATGAGTTCGAGTTCAAGTGCGATTAATCGTGATTAACCGCATGTTATACGCAAAACCAATTAATAAATTAAAAAGTAGCGTATAGCGTACTTTTATTGCAAATATAAACAAAAGAGCCATACATTTGTTGTTCAAACAGCTTTTCTTTCACAGGGGAACCCTCAGGGCCTTCAAGGTATTCAGTGAAGCAAAAATATTGAATGAATTTTTGTACTACTAATATATTTTTTCAATATTTTTATTCAGTGATTAATAAACACTTCACTAGTAATAATTTCTAGATCATTATTATAAACTTGGATTAATATTTCTTGGGGAGCAAAGCGTTAATTTAATTTAATGGAAATGGACCAATCACAATTTCTTCCAGTGGTATCTCGGAAAATCAGTGACTCCCCCTGCAGGTACTAAAGTAAAGAAACACCTGCAGGGCCTTCGGTGGCTGGAACGAAGACTCGCGCAATTTATCTCAATGTGGGGATGAGTTTGAGTTTGACAGTTGTTTTAGCCAATCATATTTCATTGAGTTATGGGCGGGATCATATCACGAAATCTTCCGGCCTTTGTAAATACCCTGTGATAGCATATGTAAGCGAGACCACAGCGACGAAAACTACACTGGCCACCTCTATTTGGACGCCTCAGGGGTGTCTGGAAGAAGGAGAAGAAAGAGAAAACCCGTGAACCAGAACTCAGAGCCCACGGCCCAGCAGCTTGGAGCCCATGGAGGCTCAGACATGCTGCATCCCACGTTTGATGCAACACGTGCAACAGACGTTTACAATTTAAACTTTTTTTTTTTAAAGTAATAAAAACTGCGTTAACGGCGTAATTGTCGGCGATAATGAATTAATTAGTTAACACAAAATTAACGCGTTAACATGCCCGGCCCTATAAAAAATATTAAAATTCACAAAATTTGACACTTTTCCTCAACTGTCAGATCAGATCTTACCAGCTGGCCGTCTGAAGAAAATCCCTGAAGAATTCCTGATGCCCTGGAAATGACGGAGGGGAACAGGGCCCACTCACAGTTTGGGGCTGGACCAGACGCTCTGCCAGCCGCTTCAGTCTCCCCAGGCTGTCAGCTCCCAGCATGCCCAGCAGGTCTGCATCAGGGGTGTCGCCGGAGGAACAGTTTCCACGCGGGCCCTTACACATCTAGAATATACATTATTAAAGGGCTCAAATTGTGCCATTTTCTGATCTATGTTATAATGTTGTTTCTTCATCAAAAACATACCTGGAGATGTGCTTTGTTTTATTCACACATGTTTAACACACAAACCCTGCATATTTAGGCCGAGTTCTTCTCTCTAACTGAAAACACATTGTTCCACCTTGTGATGTTATGTGGTAATACAGGAAGTGCTACACTGTGTTTTTAAACTCCATTCACTTTCACTAGAATCATTTAGATAATTTCAGCCATGAAACTGTCAATCTCTACTGAAAAAAAAAAAAAAGGTAAACATGAGTTGATAACTTGAAAACTATTACTACATGGCATCACATGGTGGATCAGAGCATTCTGAGTTTTGCAGATGTAGGCAAACTAATAATAAAGAGTTATTTAAACATGTGTAAATGAAACAAAACATAACTCTGGTTATGTTTTTGAGAAAGTAAGTAGTCAGTAGTCAGTAAGTAAGTAAAGTAAAGTAAGTAAGTCAGTAGTCAGCAGTCAGTTTTGCATAATATAGGGCTTTTAACATCGTAAAGCCATGTATATAATATGTGAGAGGACAGATTTTTTTCTGTATGGATCTATATATTGGTTTGGTTTCGGAATAATAAAAGGTTTGGATCATCGCCATAGCAATTTATCACTAAAAACATATTGTATCTTTTGAATAGAAAATGGCAAAAGGCAAGTATTACTAACCTGAATAAGTTGCTTGAGGAAAAGGCGAGCAAAGTGCGAGTGGGTCCCTGCAGAATTCAACTGATTCATCATTCCCCTAAGGACATAAAAAATATTAATTAATATCAAATAGAATGCCTCAAGAGAAATTAACAAATATTGATACTAGCCTGATACGATTCCCAAGAGCAGCTTCAAAGCTCCAGCCAGGCTCTTTGTGAAAGTCCTCCCATTCTCGAAGGATTTCATAAAACATATCTCTGAAAAACATAAAGGTTAATGGAAAATTCTGCAAATCTGATGGAAAAACATTAGTGCAAAGTCAAAGTACCTGTGTTTATTGATTTAATTTTTAAATTATACATAAGGAACACAAAAATTGACAAAAAAAACAAAACAAAAAACTCCCACAACCCTCCCTCTCTCGACACACAAAAATATACAACAAAACAATACAAAATATACAAACATTAACAGTCAGTCAAGTCCAGTCCTAACAAGATGTCCAAAAAAGGTGTCAATTACCTTTGTTTTTTAAATGTATGAAAAGCTTTGTCACTGCCAAAGTTGGAGCGATTGTCTGTTGCAGGTTCAAATGGGACTGAGTGGATGAAGGTGGACACTGAAGGAGAAAGCTGCAAAAAAAAACAAAGTTAAATTGTATCTCCAGCTTGCAGTGCATACTATATAAAATCCTATGAGGACTTAAATGTCATCCAAAATAATCAGTCACCAAAGTTACCTTAGCTGTACTTTTGTCCTGGGCCTGTGTGAGTCGGTCCCTGAGGTCCAGAGAGAAAGATGCAACCCTTTCATTTTCTGCCAGCAAACGCAACGTGCATTTGTCCAAGTGCACTACCAAACTGGAACAAAAAAAATTAGATTACAACAGAGGGTAAAAATAAGTAATTTATTGAATAAAGGTGCTCTGCTCAACTTTTCTGGTGGGCTTGTCTCCTTGGAGATGCTATTGCATGGCCTAGAATCTTTCATGGTGTGACATTAAATATATTCTTCTAGCATTTATACATTACGAGTTTCAATGCTCAAAAATACAATAGTTCCTTCTGTGAATAGAGGCGACTCTGAACTACAACGTAGCATAGTGCTGTTAGCTCCTTGTCTCCTTTGTGACAATGTTTCACATGATAGATTAAACCTTTCTAGACAAAGCAATAACATGTCCATGGAGAGAAGCAGCACTAGAAACGTTACACAGTGCACCTTTACAAAATAAAACACTTACTTGAATTGAATTTCTAATACTTTTACAGCAAAATACACACAGTTGTGAACTTGTTTTAGATAACATCTTTCCAAAATATCTGACAAAAAAAGACAGAATAAATAAATAAATACAATAATATGGCTGTTACAAATATATGGTAACTATCGATATATGGGTCAGAAGGAAGAAACAAAATTTAAACTTTTTAAAAACCTGTATTCATTGCACACAAACTATCCTGTTCATCGTCATGGTTATGAGTTGAGCGTGATGTCAACAACTGCACCACAAAAAACAGCTCCAGGAAAATATTTGGTACCAAGTTTTCTATGGGAGAAACAAACTGTATTAACAGCTATTCCAATTTAATTTTCAATAGCTCTAACAGTGATATAGCTATAGTTGAGTGGAAGAATACTGCCATCTTGTGTTCATTTACCAGAGATGCAGGTACAGTAGAGCTCAGCTAAGAGGTCCAGTTCTGTGCTGTAAGTGACTTTGGATGGTTCAGGATTCGGTGTTTGTAGTTCAGGAGTAACTTTGGACCCAGACCCATTCCTCAGTCCAGATTTGGTTGGGGTGATGGGATCCAACGACAGAGGGGCAGGGACCAGTTGGGCACGCTTTGTCCTATAGCACCAAACACAATAATAGGATAATGAATTAAAAAATAAGAAAGAACTTCTTGTAAAGGCTTTTCTTACTACACAATAAAGTGTAGTTAGAAAGAAATAACAGTAAAAAATGTGCAAAGAAAAAAGATAAACTTTTAAAAATATATAAACAAATTTAATATCTATATCTATATCTATATCTATATCTATCTATCTATCTATCTATCTATCTAGATAGATAGATAGATAGATAGATAGATAGATAGATAGATAGATATAGAGATAGATATACAGATAGATAGATAATATACATAGATATAGATATAAATATACATATAGATATACAGAGATAGAGATAGGGAGATATAGATAGAGAGATAGAGGATAGACAGATAGAGGATAGAGAGATAGAGAGATAGATATACACAGTATATTACACAGTATATTACACAGTATATTACACAGTATATTACACAGTATATTACACAGTATACAAAATGAGCTAAAACTATCCAAACCATGCCAGAACACAGTGGTGGTATTACAATAATATGTATATGTTGGCGTCACATATTGTTTTGTCAATTACAAATTAACTTACTTCTCCCTCTTTAGTAGCTCTCTCTCCTCCTGAAGGCTCAGTGGACTGCCTGCTGCCATAGACCTCTCCGGAGCCTCTGTCGGGGAACTAGAGGTTTTACTAAAAGGCGTTGAGGTGAAGCATGTCTTTGGTTTGGATTGGGGTCGCTCGGCACTCACTGGTGTTGGGTTTATTCTTCTAGATGGCTTTGAACTGAAATAAAATGTTGAGAAGGTAGAGGTTGAAACTGTAGCTATGCCTTAAGTTGTAATTATACTATTTCATTATGAAATTTACTTAATAAATCAAAACAAGTAACAAACAAAGACAAATAATGTTGTTTCCTCATCAAAAACATGCCTAGGGTTTTGCTTTGTTTCATTCACACGTGTGTAACACATAAATGCTGCATATTTAGACTGTGTTCCTCTCTCAAAGAGAAAACACTCTGTTCCATCTTGAGATGTCATGTTGTGATACAGGAAAAGCTTCTCCTTTTTTAAACACCTTCACTAGAATCATTTGGAAAATTTCAGTCCTGAATTTCCAATCTCTATGAAACATAAGCTAAAAGGTAGTTATTATCTTAAAACTACCACTTCATGACATCATAAGTTGGGACAGATAGACTAAAAATAAAGCATATGTTTTTGATGAGGAAACAGTATTATAACATAGATAAGAAAATAGTGTGATATGGGCCATTTCGAGTAAATTAAAAGTTTACTCACGCGGGTGAAACTGGTGATGACCCGATGGGAGGGAAATCATCCAAGTTGAAGTTCAGTTGTCCCACAGTGGGAGGTGATACATGGATCCTTGCGTGGCTGCCTCCTCCTGCTCCTCCTCTGCCAGACCTCCGCCCTCCACTGTCCCATCTCCCAGTGTCATCGCTTTGTCCTACTCCACCCCCGCGCCCATATCTGCCTTGTCCCGCTGCTATGCCACCACTCCTTTTCCTCGCTTTCTGTGACTGCAAATTAGGGCTGTGTTGATGCTCAGATGGTGAAACCATAAAATCCCCCAAACTCATTCTCTGTGGGGGGCGGCGTTCTGAACCAGAGGGCCTTGAGGCTGGACTCCAACCCGTAGTGAAAGAGGGGCTACTAAAGTCACTAACACCGCTTAAACAGTGTGACCCTGACTGTCCCATGGCATCTGTATCACCTCCTGGAGATATGGAGAGAGCAGGGGAAAACAACTGGACACGACTGGCATTTCGTGAACCACCTCCACCTGCAGACCGGGCACCTCTCCGCTCTGTGAAGCTCTGAGACTGTACGGGAGGCCGGGAGCGGCTGGGTGTTTTGGCTGGAGTAGCTGGGCCATGGGTAAGTGCTTGGCTGCTTTGCTCTCTCAGAAAGTTCAATAAAAAAGGGATGAATTCTTGTTTATGAACAGCAACGTCATTGTAGATAATAGGCAGCTTGTCTCCTTCCTGAAAGAAATATTAACTGTTAGAAGAAGGAGCCTGTCTTGTGCGTTGAAAAGCTAGAGCAAAAGGTTGTTTTTTTCGGATATACAACACACTTGCTGGAGAAAACAAATTTAACTGAAAATTGCCTAAGTAACTTTATGTAAATATCACTATTTCTGGGACCTTGTACGCGAAAAGTAAAACAACAATGACATGAAAATAAATCACAAAAGGACCACGAGTACAGTTGTAATGTGGATCAAAACAACCCAACTTGGCCATTTTTGCAGCAGTGTCTCTCATTTTCAATGTATTAATTTATCTACAAGGGCATATCCTTCTCAGAAGCCTTTCTTGTGTTAATTGGCAGTCAGTTGTGGCGTGTACTGTACTAAGGCTTACCAGCAATTTATGCCATACAAGCAAGATAGGACTGACAGCCAACCCGTGGCCCGTGCATATGGATTAGCCCTTTCGCTAGCTGCTCCGCTAAAAGTTTGTTTACACTCAGCTGAGGGCCATGACATTACACATAAGGGACTTTATAAAGAGGATTGCACTGTTGATGACGGGCCTACATTATCCTGAAACGCACCGCACTTACTTCGTTGTTTTTGAGCCAGTCCAAGACCACGTTTATGCCCACTTTGTTGAGCAGAACTGATTCCAAAAGAGCCGCCATTCTGAAGGAGCGCTGCGCGGCTGACCAGGAGGAGCCACTGCGCATGCGTGTATCAGGAGTGACGCTGACAGCATCCCACATCCAGCAGAGGACTGAGGGGAAAAACAAATATTTCATTCAAAGATGGAAAAGAAAACATCTGCACACTAATGTATTTCAAAGCTATTAAGATTTTAAATTTTTCATAATAGTTTTTGGTTAATATTATATGAACATAATATTGCATATCTGCATGGCCATATAATCGAAATGATAAGGTTCCAGACAGAGTAGAGCCAAATCAAGGGGAACCAGCTGACGTGGCTCAGGCATGATGGTGTTTCATCCTCCCGGACACCTTCCGAGGAAGTTGTTCCGACCACGCATGCCAGTGGATGAGGCCCCGGCGAAAATCCAGGACATGCCAGAGGGACTGTCTCTTGTCCGGCCTGAGAAGTCCTTGATCCCCTGGAGGAGTTGGAGTGTTTGAAGTGAGTGAAGTTCAGCAGTTCTTGCTCAGTCCTTGTTCTGAAAGGAACCCAGTTCTGGATAAGCAAAAAATAGATGCATGGAGTATTCTTAGAAGAACTTTAATTCAGATAGACTGTTATCAAAGCTCTCGTACAGGGTTTGCATAGGTTTTGTGATGTTCATGTCTGAGATCAAAGAGTTGAAAAATTAGGTCTTTGCCTATATGAGAACTAAAAATAACCTTGCATAATTGTGATCAATTACACAATAGATGGCAGCATTTCGCAAAATTTCTGGTTATGATTTGCAAATCTGTACTAGAAGAAGAGGGCAAAAACAGCAGGTCGAGCGCGCATGCCCAGTAGCGCCTTTGTGTAGCCGCTGCAGAGGCTGATGCTAACAGCTAGCCTCAAACATTAGACGACACTGGGGTAGCTAGCAGTTTAGCCTGTCAGCTAATCATGGTGAACGTAAAGAAGCGGAAAGGTCGGGTCGTGATTGACTCAGACTCAGACGATAGTGCTAGTGACGATAATTTAGATCAGGTAGGTCGGCGTTTTTCTTGTTTTTGCTTTGTCCGATCCGGGTTTTAAGTTGTCAACACTGTGTTTCTATGCTAACGCGTGCTAACTGTCTGGCCTCGCTCCAGTAAACGCGTCTAAGTAAGATCAAATTTATTTTAAACACCTAACTAAAGTAAAATACGACAATGCGCGTGGTGAAAGCTTTGTTTCTTTCGCGATCATGCATTCAATCCCAAAAATCTGCGAAACGTAGGTATGCTAATGCTAAGGTTACAGATTCTGAGAGCGCAGAAACCACGGCGAGTATTATGTGTCCACGGAAATGTCGCGCCATTGCACTCTTTCTGTTTACTACGGCGTGAAACAGCGTGCCTGCAGCTGGTTTGGCGTTTATAACTCGTAATTACACGGATTTTGTGCATGTTTTGACACAGTAAACGGGAGCGGAGGCAGAGACCGTCTTGATTTAACGTGGGGTTGTACCTTATCTCCACTCAGTGACGTCATGGGTGCGGAGACAGTCTATTTCTGTTGTTGTTGACAAAACATGTCACGGATGAGATTTACGCACACACGCCGTACTATTAGCCCTGGATATATATCAAGTAGTAATATATATGTAGAAAGTAAATCTGATACAACTAAATGTATTTTACAGTAATGCTTACAGTGTGGTGACATCACTCCCCTACTGTAAAAAAAAAACAACAACAACAAATCCCAGATATGACATAGACCTTTATAGAGCCAGTAAAGCAATACACTTAACAAGGCATAACAGTTTATTACTTTCAGAGTCATGTATTTTTAATGGTGCACTGTGTAACTTTTCTTGTGGATGGTCCGCTAACTGCTTGCCTCAATGGAGCTGTTTTTGCTTTGCTTAAAATGTTCCACAGTGAAGCATTAAACTTCTATCTCCATGAAGAAGCAGCAAAAATGAAGCTAGGGCAGATGCAGGTCAGATCTATGGAGATGTGTCTCAGTGTATTGGAAGAATGCCTGTTTTTCATGGCATTTTTAAGCAATTAAAATACCTATAATGGAATAAATACAAAATGGAGTGGTGGACCCTCTACTAGAAAAGTTACACATTGCACACTTCTTTGCTTTACTTTGTTGTTTTGATCCCTGTTCATGAATAGTGTTACCTCCAGACAGTTTTGCTTTGGCCAGTGCTTATCACATTCATAGTTTAATAAATAAACTCAGTTGATATGGTTACATAAGTATATCTAATGTATCAGTCTTCCATCTGACCTAGCCTATATAATAGCTATGCAAAGACCACATTTTCCATAGCACCAAGGCTGCAGAATGAAAATGATTTCTTATTTTACTACATACTGTATTCAGCAGTAGGTCTATAGGCTACACAAGCCTCATGTCTGTTTGTGCATATTCAAGGT